TTCTTGAATAATTTTCAGGAGGTAGCTTCTTTTCTGAGTATAATGGAGCGTCTGCAGCGGCTGTGAGTAGAAGATCCTCGGTACTAATAGGGGATATAAATTATTTAGAATACCGTATACGACATGAAATGGAAGGCGCCTGTAATCCCAGCTACTGAGGTAGGAGAATCCTTGAACCCGGGAGGCGGAGTTGCAGTGAGCCAAGATCGCGCCACTGAGCTCCAGCCTGGGCGCCTGAGGAAAACTCAATCTCAAAAAAAAAAAAAAAAAAAAATCACTTCCTAGGTTTAAGACTTTAAATAATTTATTTAATGTCAGCGCTTCATGGAAGACTTCAGCGGAATATGAAACCAAAGGAGAGAGTGATGCATATATACATGCATATATATATATGTATATACACACACGTGTGTGTGTGTGTGTGTGTGTGTGTGTGTGTAGTACCTTTATCGGATTTTCAACAGCAAAAAATTGGAGTTCTATACACCCTTCTGGTATTGGCATGCAAGTGTTGTTATAAGGGTTGTATTAGCCGGCCGCTGTGGCTAACGCCTGTAATCCCAGCCCTTTGGGATGCTGAGGCTAAGGGATCACCTGAGGTCGGGAGTTTGAGACCAGCATGACCAACATGGAGAGAAGTCCGTCTGTACTAAAAATACAAAATTAGCTAGGCGTGGTGGTGCCTGCCTGTAATCCCAGCTATTCGGGAGGCTGAGGCGGAGAATCGCTTGAACCCAGGAGGCGGAGGTTGCAGTGAGCCGAGTTCGCCATTGCACTCCATCCTGGACAACAAGAGTGAAACTCCGAGAAAAAATAAATAAATAAATAAAATAAGAGTTCTATTAGGCAAAACTAAAACAAAAAAGAAGCCTGCCGAAACCCGGGATTGAACCAGGGACCTTTAGATCTTCAGTCTAACGCTCTCCCAACTGAGCTACCTTTATCGGATTTTCAACAGCAAAAAATTGGAGTTCTATACACCCTTCTGGTATTGGCATGCAAGTGTTGTATAAGGGTTGTATTAGCCGGGCGCTGTGGCTAACGCCTGTAATCCCAGCCCTTTGGGAGGCTGAGGCTAAGGGATCATCTGAGGTCGGGAGTTTGAGACCAGCCTGACCAACATGGAGAAAGTCCGTCTGTACTAAAAATACAAAATTAGCTAGGCGTGGTGGTGCCAGCCTGTAATCCCAGCTATTCGGGAGGCTGAGGCGGGAGAATCACTTGAACCCAGGAGGCGGAGGTTGCAGGGAGCCGAGTTCGCTCCATTGCACTCCATCCTGGACAACAAGAGTGAAACTCCGAGAAAAAAATAAATAAATAAATAAAAATAAGAGTTCTATTAGGCAAAACTAAAACTGAAAAAAGAAGCCTGCCGAAACCCGGGATTGAACCAGGGACCTTTAGATCTTCAGTCTAACGCTCTCCCAACTGAGCTATTTCGGCTGCTTTAAGTCTCTTCTTTTAGCTATTTCTTCAAAATATAAAACTGTCATTTGTAGGGTCAGTATATCTTCCAGTTCTGTTGTCTTCAATATCCCCTGTCATTCACTCACCCCTTCACCCCCAAAATATAGATTCTGCTCCAATTTATGTCTGAAAATAGGACCCAATTTTAAGGACAATGAATGGGTTAGCAAAAGCCGGGGAAAGAAAAGGCAAAGGTGAAGAATAGAGCAAAGCAATGAGGAGAGAACTATTTCTCTTACTGTCTCCTGTCTCTGAAGAGAAGGAGGAAGAAAAAGTTGAAAAACAACAGGAATTAAGTCAGTGGCAAGACCAGCCAGTGCCATTGATGACCAGGCCTGAGGTTAAAAGATTAACCCCCCACTCTAACCACATGTGCTCTCAATCTATCACGACCCTTTCACGTGGAACCCCTTGGAGTTGTAAGCCCTTAAAAGGGCCAGGAACTCTGTCTTCGGGGAGCTCGGCTCTTGAGACGAGTCTGCCATTTCTCCCGGTGGAATAAAAACCTCTTCCTTCTTTAATCTGGTGTCTGAGGAGTTTTGTCTCAGACTCCTCAGTCTGTGGCTCATCCTGCTACATTTGTTGGTTCCCTGACTGGGAATCGAGGTGATTAACACGCGGTCGAGGCAGCCCTTTAGGCCACTTAGGCCTGCCCTGTGGAACATCCCTGCGGGGTACTCTGGCCAGCTTGAGGGACGGGGTCCTGAGAGCGCTCCCGGGTAGGCAATTGCCCCGGTGGAATGCCTCCTCAGAGCAGTGCACAGCAGGCCCCATAGAGGATCCACACAGTGGCTGAACATGGGGAAGGAACTGGCCCTTTAAGTCTGGACATCTGAAACGTGGTAAAACTGGTCTTTGGAACTTGCCCACTCCATTTGAGTGGAAGCGTGGCCTGATCACCAGATCACCCACGGCTTGCCTGAGCCGGCAGTTTGGCTTTGACTTGACTTGAATTGCTTGATACTTTGGATTTGGTTTTGACCTGGCTTGGATTTCTGGATACTCTGATTTTGGTTTTGATTCTGGTTTGGTGTAAACTAAAAGAGTGTGTGTGTGTGCCCTTTTTACCCGCTCTTTGTTCTGTGATGTGTGCATGTGGTGTGAGTGGGGTGTTTTGTCTCATGGAAACATGGGTCAGACACAAAGAAAGCCCATTCCACTAGGAACTATGTTGCAAAATTTCAAGGAAGGATTTAGTGGAGACTATAGGGTTACTATGACACCAGGAAAACTTAGAACTTTGTGTGAAATAGATTGGCCAACATTAGAAGTGGGTTGGCCATCAGAAGGAAGTTTGGACAGGTCCCTTGTTTCTAAACTATGGCACAGGGTAACTGGTAAGGCAGGATACTCAGACCAGTTCCCATACATAGATAATTGGTTACAGCTGGTGCTAGACCCCCCACGGTGGCTAAGAGGGCAGGCAGCAGCAGTCCTAGTAGCAAAGAGAAAGATAGCCAAGGAAGGATCCCACTCCACCTGCCAAGGGAAATCAACTCCTGAAGCTCTGTTCAACCCAACATCAGAAGATCCATTGCAGGAGATGGCACCAGTGATCCCAGTGGTGCCCTCCCCTTACCAGGGAGAGAGGCTCCCCACTCTTGAGCCCACAGTGCTTGCCCCTCCGCAAAACATACATATCCCTAGGCCACCCAGAGTAGACAAGAGAGGAGATGAAGACTTGGGAGAAACCCCTCCCTTGGCAGCTCGTTTACGACCCAAAATTGGGATACAAATGCCCCTGAAAGAGCAGCAGTATACTGGGATAGATGAGGATGGTCACATGGTGGAGAGGCATGTTTTTGTGTACCAGCCCTTCACCTCTGCTGACCTTCTCAACTGGTACCCTGTCCTATACTGAAAAGCCACAAGCTCTAATTGATTTGCTCCAAACTATTATCCAGACCCACAACCCCACCTGGGCTGATTGCTACCAGTTGCTCACGTTCCTCTTTAACACAGATGAAAGGCGGAGAGGGCTCCAAGCAGCAACTAAGTGGCTGATTACCAAAACCCCCAAGAGTATGTAAAGACCTAGTTACCAGGAACCAACCGACCCCAGTGGGACCCAAATGAAAGAGAGGATGTGGAAAGGCTAAACCAATACAGGGAAGCTCTCTTGGAAGGATTAAAGAGGGGAGCCCAGAAGGCCACAAACGTTAATGAAGTCTCTGAGGTCGTTCAGGGAATAGAAGAAAGTCCAGTACAATTCTACCAGAGACTGTGTGAGGCCCATCGTATATATACTCCCTTTGATTCCGATAGCCCTGAAAATCAGCGCATGATTAACATGGCTTTAGTTAGTCAAAGCGCAGAAGACATTAGAGGAAAACTGCAGAAACAGGCTGGCTTTGCAGGGATGAATACATCACAGTTATTAGAAATAGCTAACCAGGTGTTAGTAAACAGGGATGCAGTAAGCCGCAAGGAAAACTGCAAAGAGGATGAACGTCAGGCCCAGCGAAATGCTGACCTGTTAGCTGCAGCAATCAGAGGGGTCCCCCCAAAGAGGCAAGGGAAGGGGGGGCCTGGGAAAGAAACTCAGCCTGGCTGTCAGCGTTTGCGGCATAACAGATGTGCTTATTGTAAAGAAATAGGACATTGGAAGAACAAATGCCCTTAGCTAAAAGGAAAACAAGGTGACTCAGAGCAGGAGGCCCCAGACAAGGAGGAAGGGGCCCTGCTCAACCTGGCAAAAGGGTTATTGGACTGAGGGGGACTGGGCTCAAGTGCCCCCAAAGAGTCTATGGTCAGGATGACAGTCGAGGGTAAAGACATTGATTTTCTTGTTGATATCGGTGCTGAACATTTGGTAGTAACTGCCCCATTTGCCCCCTTATCCAAAAAGACTATTGACAATCGGAGCCATAGGGGTTTCAGCAAAGCAAGCTTTCTGCTTGCACCGGACTTGTACTGTAGGAGGACATAAAGTGATTCATCAGTTTTTGTACATGTCTGACTGTCCCTTGCTCTTGTTGGGAAGGGACTTGCCTAGCAAGCTGAGAGCCACCATCTCTTTTACAGAGCATGGCTATTTGTTGCTAAAGTTACCTGGAACAGGAGTCACTATGACCCTTACGGTCCCCTGAGAGGAGGAATGGAGACTTTTCTTAACTGAGCCAGGCCAAGATATAAGACCAGCTCTAGCTAAGCGGTGGCCAAAAGTGTGGTCACAGGACAACCCTCCAGGGTTGGCAGTCAACCAAGCCCCCGTACTTATGGAAGTTAAGCCTGGGGCCCAGACAGTTAGGCAAAAATAGTACCCGGTCCCAAGAGAAGCTCTTGAAGGTATCCAGGTCCATCTCAAGCGCCTAAGAACCTTTGGAATTATAGTTCCTTGTCAGTCTCCATGGAACACTCCCCTCCTGCCTGTTCCCAAGCCGGGGACCAAGGACTACAGGATGGTACAGGATTTGCACTTAGTTAATCAAGCTACAGTGATTTCACATCCAACAGTACCTAACCCGTATACATTGTTGGGGTTGCTGCCAGCTGAGGACAGCTGGTTCACCTGCTTGGACCTGAAAGACGCTTTCTTTAGCATCTGAGAGTCAGAAACTGTTTGCCTTTCAGTGGGAAGATCCAGAGTCAGGTGTCACTGACTCAGTACACTTGGACCCAGCTTCCCCAAGGGTTCAAGAACTCCCCCACCATCTTTGGGGAAGCATTGACTCGAGACCTCCAGAAGTTTCCCACCAGAGACCTAGGCTGCGTGTTGCTCTAGTACATTGATGACCTTCTGCTGGGACACCCCACGGCAGTCGGGTGCGCCAAGGAAACGGATGCCCTACTCCAGCACCTGGAAGACTGTGGGTATCACGTATCCAAGAAAAAAGCTCAGATCTGCCGACAGCAGGTACATTACTTGGGATTTACTATCCGACAGGGGGAGCGCAGCCTGGGATCAGAAAGAAAGCAGGTCATTTGCAATCTACCGGAGCCTAAGAGCAGAAGGCAGGTGAGAGAATTCTTAGGAGCTGTGAGGTTTTGCAGACTGTGGATCCCAAACTTTGCAGTATTAGCCAAGCCTTTGTATGAGGTCACAAAGGGTGGGGGAGGGGAGGACTGGGAAACTTTTGAATGGGGATCCCAACAACAGCAAGTCTTTCATGAGTTAAAGGAAAAACTTATGCCTGGGGCTACCCAATCTGACAAAGCCTTTTACATTGTATGTGTCAGAGAGAGAAAAGATGGCAGTTGGAGTTTTAACCCAAACTGTGGGGCCCTGGCTGAGGCCAGTGGCCTACCCCACCAAACAACTAGATGGCGTTTCTAAAGGATGGTCCCCATGTTTGAGGGCCTTTGCAGCAACTGCCCTACTAGTACAAGAAGCAGATAAGCTGACTCTTGGGCAAAACCTGAACATAAACGCTCCCTATGCTGTGGTGACTTTAATGAATACTAAAGGGCATCATTGGCTAATGAATGCTAGACTCACCAAGTACCAAAGTTTGCTCTGTGAAAATCCCCGTATAACTATTAAAGTTTGTAACACCCTGAACCCTGCCACCTTCCTCCTAGTATCAAGAGAGCCCTGTCGAGCATGACTGTGTAGAAGTGTTGGACTCAGTTTATTCTAGCAGACCTGACCTCCGGGACCAGCCTTGGGCATCAGTAGACTGGGAACTATACGTGGATGGGAGCAGCTTCGTCAACCCACAAGGAGAGAGATGCGCAGGGTATGCAGTGGTAACCCTGGACACTGTTGTTGAAGCCAGATCGTTGCCCCAGGGCACTTCAGCTCAGAAAGCTGAACTCATTGCTTTAATTTGGGCCTTAGAACTCAGTGAAGGTAAGACTGTAAACATTTACATTGATTCTCAGTATGCCTTTTTAACCCTTCAAGTGCATGGAGCATTATATAAAGAAAAGGGCC